GATGATGATGATGAGGAGGAGGAGGAGGAGGAGGAGGAGGAGGAGGAGGAGGAGGAGGAAGGGGCCTTGGAGGTCATCTAGTCCAACCCCCTGCTAAGGCAGGAAACCCTATACCATTTCAGACAAATGGCTGTCCAGTCTCTTCTTAAAAACCGCCAGTGTTGGAGCATTCACCACTTCTTAAATTCAATATATCATCTGCCGTAGAGAATAATAGAGATGGCCTTGATGGAAATCTGCAGGAACTGTTACCTTGGCAAAGTTGACTGAAACAGTCTTTAAGCCCTGCAAAACATGATAGTATTTAGAAGCTGTTCAAGTAAGCACCTCTCTTGATTGTCTGGAGGTAAAGCACAATCGAGGCTTACAAGTTTCTGTTATTATAGCCATCTCAATAAAAGTAGTTGTAGTGTTCCTGCAGAGTTGACTGCTCGGTCTGGTCTGCCTAGTGGGGCTGACTAACCACTTCCAGATACAACCAGCATTTCTGTGGTTTATTCTAAGTTTGTTAATGGGTTGCTTTCCAGTTAATCCTGTCCAGACTGTTTAGATGACAAAAGTACATTTAAATCTATTGTGGGCCATTGTTTTCAAAGTAGCAAAGCAGTGGGCATGAAAAAGTATATTTTTTTTGATGAGCCATCCTGAGAGTTTGTGGCATTTTCCAGATATTTAACATTGCAGTCCCAGCTCTGACAGAGTTAAAGGACCCCTTGCAAAAGGAGAAGACTAAAATACAAGAATAGTGGAAGTCTCCTTGTCACAGCCAACAAGGTGACTTCTTGAGAAATGTGGGATCAAATCTTAATGACGTACAACATCCAGAACAGCTTGACCAAATCGAATAGATTAGATCTAAAAAAAAGGCAGATCCAGTTACCGTTTTGCTCTTTTCCCCGAATTTTATTTGGAACAAGTGGGACCAGGTTTCCTTATCTTTTTAATTTTCTGCTGCTTTAAATTAGAATAATTATGACATCCCTCACAGGGTTATTAAGATGAACGCAATAAGCAACTGTAGTGTACAATTAAAGTAATATAGTAATAAAGTCATTTTAAGTTATTCTTCCCCGTTCTTATCTTATAGCCGCATGTCATACGCTAAAAACTGGCTGTCACTTGCCTGTTAGCACCCAGATGTTTGAAGAGCAAAAATTAGCTGTAGAAACAATGTTAGAACATAGAAAGAAATCCATAAATAGCAAAGAGGGACAAAAAAACAAATTAAGCTGAAAAGCAACAAGGCTGCTACAGAAGAGATGCATGGAAGAAATACAGATTTTAGAAAAGCAGAAAAGGAAAGTAATAAAAAAGAGAGATCATCATCAGATGATTTGTTAGGAAGGCAGAGGATCCTAGTAAAGAGGGCAACAAGCAATGGATTTCAGATCTTGATTTTAACCCAGTAACCTTTAATTTAATTTAATTTAACCCAGTAACCAGTAGTCAGCTACTTATAAAAACAGTGGTAGCGAACCTATGACATACATGTTAAAGATGGCACACCATAATGTTTTGGGTGACACGCTAGTGTTCACCATCACCCAACAACACCTCTACTTAAAAGCATGTCCTATTGTTGTGTGATTTTCGGAGACCCACACGAAAATGGGATATGTTCTCATTCAGCCTCTGGACTCTTCAAAAATGAGTTTGTTTTACTCGTATTTCATTTTTGTAATTAGCTGGCATTTCTTTAGATAATGCATAGCGCCACATTTAGAAATATGGAAAACTGATGGCGGAAAAACCCCTGCCCTTTGAGGTTCTATTTTTTTTTTTATTTTAATTTAACTTTTTAAAATTTTTGTCAGATGATGGACATGTGTTTATCCCAAGCATGTGTTTAAACTCAGTTACTGGCGATTGAGCCACGGTCTTCCCTGGAAGTTGGTTCCAAGCTTCCACCATCCTTTCTGTGAAGTAATACTTTCTAAAATTACTTTTGAACTTCCCTCCTGTTAGTCTGAACTTATATGTATTCTTGATTTTTGCTTAGTAATAAAAATACTCCCTTCTAGAACCTCATTCACACCCTTAAT